TGGCTAGCCAGGTCGCTTCGTATTCCCCTGTACTCATATTTATATCGTTGTATTTGCATGTTCTATTCATCTCAAAGCATTTTACATTCACTCTGCTATTGAGGTCAAGGGCCCACCAAACTATCTCACTACGTGCGAACCTTCCTGGGTAGATCCTGGGCTACGATCAACTTCTGATCTCAGCAAATCAATCTTGCCCCCACACACCAGCGCAAGGAGGTTCAACATTTTATCATTAAAACGCTTCTGCAATTACGACATTCCTACCCGAATTTTAGCCTTGAAAAGATCCTAAGGGCTTTTTCTCAGCCCAACATGGTATGAGAGCCGTCAAGGCAAATCCAACTCCGTTAACACTCCTACAACAATAGAAGACATGGCAACACAGAAGGAGAGAAGCTCCTCTAACGGCTCTCCCGGCACTACTCCTACTCCACCTCCAGCCTCTGGCCTAGAGACAGAGGGAGGCACGGCGACAAGACCAGCTGCTGAGTCTATGGAAACTCCTGCGAACCAAGCAACAGGCTTCGACCCAAGTATGATGGAGAAGTTCTTCTCCTTCATGTCCTTCTACGAACAGCACCAGCAAGCAGCACCTGCACAATCAAACAACAGCGACAACAACAACAGAGTTGCACCAATGAGTCTCGACGGCTCATCCTATGCGCGCGGAAACCAGCAGCAACCTACCTTTGCACCATACGAGCCTCAACGTGGCTCCATCAGCTTCATGCCGCACCAGCCTCCATCTGGACAAGAGAAGACATTGGACGCACTTCAGATACAGTCGCAGTTCGCGCACGTTCTAAAACTGCAGACATCAACACCGTTCGACGGCAAAGACTTCTTGTCAAATATTATAGCCTGTAGTGGGTTGGGCTATATGGGGTACAACTAGTTAGGGTTAGGTTATGTACCCCAATTCTGTCAATGCAACACATTCCGCTGTAGTTCTCATTCAGACATGGTATCAGCAGTAGGTTAGCGCTCCTAGCCCTAGGCCCGCCCGTCCCTACCATTAGGGTTACCACTGCGCCCCGCCAGCCCGCCAGCGCCCTACCCCACGCCCCAGCCGGCGCGCCCCTCCCCTCCCCGCCCTTAGCCAGCGCGCACGCCAGCCAGCCAGCGCGCCAGCCAGCCAGCGCGCCAGCCAGCCAGCGCGCCAGCCAGCCAGCGCGCCTGCCAACCAGCGCGCTAGCCCGCCAGCCAACCAGCGCGCCAGCGCACCGGCCAGCCTGCGCGCCAGCCCGCTTGCACGCCAGCCCGCCAGCGCGCCCGCCAGCGGGCACACCAGCGAGCCCGCCAGCTCGCCTGCCAGCGCGCCCGCCAGCGAGCTCGCCAGCGCGCCCGCCAGCGAGCCCGCCAGCGCGCCCGCCAGCACGCACGCCAGCGCGCCCGTTAAACAACACGATAAGAGCTGGAGTACTTGACAAGGACTCACTACTTCTACATGACGGCAGAGAACTTCAACAAGTCCGCGGAACGTGTTTTACCTGCCCTGAAGCCGACTTACCGCATCAGCCGTTCGTCTCTCACCACAACCCGAGCGCTCCAGCATACGCACCACTTGAAAAGGTGTATAGCAACATACTGTACAATCGGGAACCCGGACAAGGAGCGTATAACTACGTCATCACGTTCATCGACGCCGCCACACGATACGTCTGGCACTTCAACCTCCCGCGCCGAGACATGGCCTTCGAAGCTTTCGTCGCCTGGCTTCCAGCAGCAGAAAGGGAATAACGAGCGAAGCTGAAAAGCTTCCAGTCAGATGGGGGAGGGGAACATTAGTCACAAAAATTCAAGCAGTACCTGGCAGAACGAGGCATCAAGCGGCTCATCTCCCTTCCCTACGCTCACCAACAGCAAGGCGTAGCAGAAAGGATGAACAGGACTCTCCAAAACAGTTACCATGCGCAAGCTACTACGTGGCATGCGGCTACCCAACCACCAGTGGCCCGAAGCAATGGACCATGCTGTGATGCTGCACAACTTGCTTTCGTCATCATCGCTCCTGAACAACGCATCATCGCACCTGCTATGAACAGGAAAACTGGGCAGCACAAAAATGTTGCGAGTGTTCGGCTGCATGGTACAGTACCGACCCCCAACTGCACGAGCCGGCCGATTCTCTCAACGCGCACACTGGGGAATATACCTGGGCATCGAAAAACATTACAACGCATGGAAGATTTTTTACGTCCACTCGAAGGAAACAGTAGCAGCACGTGACGTGATTTTCTACGAATGGCTCAGCCTCCCATCGTACCTTGCCAACCTGGAAGAAGAACGAGACCCCACAAGCGGATTTCATGGTGACCGAGCCTTCGCTTCAACAACAAACGAAGCTGACTGGGACGAGCAGAACGTGGAAGGAGCATCGGAGGAAGTTGGACGTCTACCCTGCTGCTCAGTGGACATCCCGATGGACGACGACAACCCTCGCGAAAGCATCAACGCCGAAGTCTACTACGACCTCGCCGACAATGGTTACGTTACACCCCAACCAGACAACACCAACGTCTCCGAACGGATAGGACCCAATTTCTTACTCGACCCAGAAGCGGGAGACGAAGCAGTCTATCACGAGGATGAAAATCTCCCCCGACTCTCACAGAGTGGACTGCAGATACTCGGACTTGTCACCGCCGTCCACGGAGCATCGCCGCCAAAAGAGCCTGCCACAGTGCAATAGGCTCTGGGGGGGGAGCACAGAGAAAAATGGCGCGAAGCCATGGACAAGGAGTTAAAGGCACTAGAAGAGAGAAACACCTGGAAAGTAGTTCCTATCGGAGTGGCATGCAACAAGACCGTACTTATCGGGAAGTGGGTCTTCCGCATGAAGACCAAAGCAGACGGAAATATAGACAAGTTCAAGGCACGATGGGTCGTGCGAGGCTTCGATCAACAGCACGGACGAGATTTCACCGAGACATTCGCACCTGTAAGCAGACACACGTCGCTGCGGATCCTACTCGCCATAGCCGCAATCAAACGGAAGAAGCTTCGACAAATCGACGTGGCGAACGCCTTCCTCTACGCACCTGTCGACGCCAAAATCTTCGTCGAGCTACCTCACGGATACAACAGCAACTCCAACCAAGTCCGTCAGCTTCTAAAATCGCTGTACGTCATCAAGCAGGCTCCGCGACTGTGGCAACAGTACCTGCACGCACGCCTAATCTGCATCGGGTTCCGTCAACTTCCCCACGACCAGGGAATGTACCGACTCACTAAATCCTCCGACTACATCCTGCTCATCGTCTACGTAGACAACCTGCTCCACATAGGCTCCACTGACAGCATCACGTCCTGGTTTGAAGGGGAGCTGCAGCAGGACCTACAAACGACGATCTCACCGACTGTCACCCAATACTTGGGCCTAAACATACAGGACGGAGAAGACGCCATATATCTCAACGCCGCCAAGTACACCGACACCATCGCCAAGCACTTCGGCCTAACGCCGACCACCATTTCAACTCCCTACCACCATACGACGACAAATCCGAGAGAATCTAAACCACTAGCAGCAGCCGGAATACGAGACTACCAACGAAAGCTCGGCTGCCTTCTCTTCGCAGCAGTAACCTGCCGCCCGGACCTATCCTACTCAGCCAGTCAGCTCGCCACTCATCTCAAGCGACCCGAAGCAGGACACATGGCGGAACTGGAGCAGGCCCTACTCTACCTCGTCAGCACCCCGACGATCGGGCTAACCTATCACAAGAACGCAACTACACCTCCGAAGCTAATCGGCTACGTAGATGCCGACCACGCCGGCGACTCTGAGAACCGTCGATCCCGCACCGGCTACATCTATCGACTCAAGCCAATCGGTCCTATCTCCTGGCAGCCGAACAAACAAGAGCTAACTGCTCTCTCATCTGTTGAGGCTGAGTATATCGCCCTCTGCTCAGCTACAAAAGAAGGGTTGTACCTTCGCGAACTGCTGGAAGAAGCAGAACTGGCCCAGTTACCAAGCTTCTCCCTCTTCTTCGACAATCGATCGGCAATCCGTATTGCAAACAAAACGGATTTGCGAACCGGACAAAGCATATCGCCCTGCGATACTTCTTCGTGAAAGACGAGATCGAGAAGGGGAGACTCGAGCTGTCCTACTGCCCCACATCCGAGATGGCAGCCGATTATTTGACCAAGAAACTCGGAAAGCAGAAGTTCGAATACTGCATGCTGCTGACTGGACAAGGCCACGTCACCAGCGATGACACTCCAGAAGCGAAGGGGAGTGTTGGAAACAATTAATCAAACGCTTCTGAAGTGATTGAAACGCCGAACTGCAACCAAAGCAAACTGCAACGAAGCAACAGCGAGTCAATTGAGGAGGTTGACAAAAGCAACAGCTGGAGGTTACGCGAAGGTCAAAGGTCAGCGACCTTTGACTCGACGAAAAGCACCGCGACAGCAAAGACGAACAACTGACTCGGTATTGAGCAGTTGCCCGCGTTGTCGCTGTATCGAACCGCAACAGCAACACTAAAACAGTTTGTTGCATCTTCTCATATTCCCTGTAATCTTATAAAAACCTTGTACTACTTTGCTATAATCAATCTACTTTGCCCTCACACACCAGCGCAAGGAGGTTCAACATTCTATTATTAAAACGCTTCCGCAATTATGACATTCCTACCTGGATTTTAGCCTTGAAAAGATCCTAAGGGCCTTTCTCAGCCCAACAAGTATTAGGTTTGTTAAGGCCCGTATTTTACTCACTGTATCAACCATTTATTTGAAGAGCATTTACAGCAATGGACCGAGCAGTAGAGAGTAGGGGAGCCAGAACGACAATGAAATTTTTAAGGAGATTTACCTATCATCTTGCTTTCCTGCTACTCCTTCCTCGCCCTTCACTTTGTTGCTCTAATCGAGCAGCTTATTCGCCTCCGCGACCTTCGCCTGCTTCATCACCTTCTCGTTCTCAGAAACCTTCTCCTCGTCCCTCGTATCCTCCCCGGTCCTTCTTCGTTTCTCCTTATTCCCTAGCTCCTCTTGTTCTCCTCGTCCTTCCTCTTCTTCTCCTCGTCCTTCCTCTTCTTCTCCTCGTCCTTCCTCTTCTTCTTCTCCTCGTCCTTCCTCTTCTTCTTCTCCTCGTCCTTCCTCTTCTTCTCCTCGTCCTTCCTCTTCTTCTTCTCCTCGTCCTTCCTCTTCTTCTTCTCCTCGTCCTTCCTCTTCTTCTTCTCCTCGTCCTTCCTCTTCTTCTTCTCCTCGTCCTTCCTCTTCTTCTTCTCCTCGTCTCTTCTTCTTCTCCTCGTCCTTCCTCTTCTTCTTCTCCTCGTCCTTCCTCTTCTTCTTCTCCTCGTCCTTCCTTCTTCTTCTCCTCGTCCTTCCTCTTCTTCTTCTCCTCGTCCTTCCTCTTCTTCTTCTCCTCGTCCTTCCTCTTCTTCTTCCTCGTCCTTCCTCTTCTTCTTCTCCTCGTCCTTCCTCTTCTTCTTCTCCTCGTCCTTCCTCTTCTTCTTCTCCTCGTCCTTCCTCTTCTTCTTCTCCTCGTCCTTCCCTCTTCTTCTTCTCCTCGTCCTTCCTCTTCTTCTTCTCCTCGTCCTTCCTCTTCTTCTTCTCCTCGTCCTTCCTCTTCTTCTTCTCCTCGTCCTTCCTCTTCTTCTTCTCCTCGTCCTTCCTCTTCTTCTTCTCCTCGTCCTTCCTCTTCTTCTTCTCCTCGTCCTTCCTTTCTTCTTCTTCTTCTTCTTCTTCTTCTTCTTCTCCTCCTCTTCTTCTTCTCCTCGTCCTTCCTCTTCTTCTTCTTCTCTCGTCCTCTTCCTCTTCTTCTCTCCTCGTCTTCTTCTCTCTTCTCTTCTCCTCGTCCTCTTCTCTTCTTCTCCTCGTCCTTCCTCTTCTTCTCCTCGTCCTTCCTCTTCTTCTTCTTCCTCGTCCTTCCTCTTCTTCTTCTTCTCCTTCCTCTTCTTCTTCTCCTCGTCCTTCCTCTTCTTCTTCTCCTCGTCCTTCTCTTCTTCTCTCTCTTCCTCCTCTTCTTCTTCTCCTCGTCCTTCCTCTTCTTCTTCTCCTCGTCCTTCCTCTTCTTCTTCTCCTCGTCCTTCCTCTTCTTCTTCTCCTCGTCCTTCTCTTCTTCTTCTCCTCGTCCTTCCTCTTCTTCTTCTCCTCGTCCTTCCTCTTCTTCTTCTCCTCGTCCTTCCTCTTCTTCTCCTCGTCCTTCCTCTTCTTCTCCTCGTCCTTCCTCTTCTTCTCCTCGTCCTTCCTCTTCTTCTCCTCGTCCTTCCTCTTCTTCTCCTCGTCCTTCCTCTTCTTCTCCTCGTCCTTCCTCTTCTTCTCCTCGTCCTTCCTCTTCTTCTCCTCGTCCTTCCTCCATTCTCCTCGTCCTTCCTCTTCTTCTCCTCGTCCTTCCTCTTCTTCTCCTCGTCCTTCCTCTTCTTCTCCTCGTCCTTCCTCTTCTTCTCCTCGTCCTTCCTCTTCTTCTCCTCGTCCTTCCTCTTCTTCTCCTCGTCCTTCCTCTTCTTCTCCTCGTCCTTCCTCTTCTTCTCCTCGTCCTTTCTCTTCTTCTCCTCGTCCTTCCTCTTCTTCTCCTCGTCCTTCCTCTTAGTCTCCTCGTCCTTCCTCCCATTCTCCTCGTCCTTCCTCCCATTCTCCTCGTCCTTCCTCCCATTCTCCTCGTCCTTCCTCTTATTCTCCTCGTCCTTCCTCCTATTCCCCTCGTCCTTCCTCCTATTCCCCTCGTCCTTCCTCTTATTCTCCTCGTCCTTCGTCTTCTTCTCCTCGTCCTTCCTCTTATTCTCCTCGTCCTTCCTCTTATTCTCCTCGTCCTTCCTCTTATTCTCCTCGTCCTTCCTCTTCCCCTCATCCTTCCTCCCCTCATCCTTCCAATCATGCTCCTCATTCTTCCTCTCTCCCCTCTCCCTCTTCAGCATCCTCCTCGTCTTCTCCTCTGCCACGTCAGCATCAGCGCCTTCCCCTGCAGCGCGGAGAGCATGGCGTCCGCCCCTGCATGCTGCGACTCCTCGTTTACCTCCATGAGAGCACGCATCTTGTAACGAATCGCTCTCACATTCGTGTTTTCGCGCACATCTTCCGAAAGCGCCTTGCGTGAGCCGAGCAGTCCATGCCCGAAAAATGAGGCGATGCTGGGGTTTAATATATCCGCCGTCACGGCAGCGGGCAGGTGCACGTCAACTAGAAGGGTACAAAGAAGCACCAAGAGATTTCGTAGCGCAGCCATGGCTGTTAATGATTTTCGAGCAGTACCACTAATACAAGTGTGAATATATGCGCTTGGTGACCTTACCGATGGCTGCTGATGGATATGATGGGAAGTGCGAGCAGCTACTAAATACTGCTGCGAACTCATTCTGGAAGACCGTCGCGCTCGGCTGCCGTAGTCGAATGCGCTGGTTTGGGAACCTCAAAGCGCGCGATTATTGGTGTGAGTGTTGTGAAGGACGATGTTGAGTGTGAGCAGTGAGATGCGCCAGGCAAGGAGCTCCAACTCGCGCGATTATCAGTGTGGCGGCATTTGTGTAGTATGTTGGCCATTCTAAGCAAACCTCAGGCGCCCCGACTAGGTGTTTTGCTCGCGAGGCTGTGTGCTTGGCCAATGAGAACTCTCAGGGAACTGCTGCGACAAAGTCGTCACCCAGTGCTTTAGCGAATGCTGAAAATGACAACACCTGCAGGTTACCCTGGCGAAGCGCGCTGGTCCGGATATAATGGCAAAACAGGAAACTAGAGATTCACGAATTCCCGAAGGCTGCTGGTTCGCACCGCGTAGCCATCCAACTCCCCAGCCATATAATTGCGCGACCCGCCTCAGCGTTTCGCAAACACATATTCTCGCTATAGAAAACAGCGGTGAAATTGACATTCTGCCCGACCCTTGAGTTTGCAAGGTTGCAGATACCTGCACTACATAACGAAATATGATTTTCGTACTAAGAAAACAATGCGACTGAAATGGCCATGGAACGAGCTAAAATAGGGTGAAGCTAGGCGAGCACCTCGGGCTAAAATATGGTTGCGAAGGATGGCGGGGAGTACGGAGGCATCTCGGGAGTGTCGAAATCGTTGTTTCTATACAGTGTCAAAATCATCATTCAATTTACGCTTGCGCAAAGCCAGCCTGTCATCCCTGCAATAAGGGATTAGGCAACGAGTGGATGCAATGAGTGGACAGAAACAACATGATCACCTCAACGATCCAAATCATTTATGGAAGGAAAAAAATCGATGGATTATACATTAAGAAAAAAATTCCTCACCTGTTCAGCTTTGGTCTGGGTGGCAGAACCGAGCCTGGAGGAAACACCACTGTATCAACCGACACGGGCGCTCCATCCCCTCCCCCGGTAACCACCGTAACCATTGTCACCTCACTCGGCGTCTCCCCTTCCGCACCGCCCCCCTCCACTGCTCCTCTCCCATCCCTCCCCTTCCCAACAATCTCCCCAACCTTCCCTCTCCCCTCACCCTCTTCAATTTCTTCTATTCCTGGTTGGAGGGATATGCGAACGGCCTTCTTTGCAGGTGAGAGGTTGCGGGGATAATGAGGTGACTCTACTGTAGGGGGCAGATGCCTACGCCCTGTATTAGCACCAGCTGTTGTTGCTGCTGCTGCCCCACCAGCCGACCCTTCTCGTATCGCATCACTAACACTGTGAGAGTACGACGTCATTGCTACGCTTTAGTAGCTTGATTCTGCTTTACTATGCATTATCTAGCTTAGCTTTGCTTTATTTTGCTTGCTTTTGCTAGATTTCCTAGATTCGTTGCTTTTACTATGTTGTTATAGTTTTAGGCACCCGTCCCAACTAGGGTGTGGGATTGGGCGCCCTCCGAGCCCTGCCGAGACAGGCCCCACACCCTTGGGCGATGCTGAACGGGCCTGGGGTGGGGCACCACCTCCATTTCTTGCTGGAAGGTGGCTTCGCTCCTCATTTTCCGCATCCCGTTTCGATTTTAAGACCTTGACAGCTCTGCGCCTCCCCTCTCTCCTACCTTAGCCGTCCGCGTCCTTTGTTAGTCGATAGATATGGAGCCGAGCCCCGACGCCGATAAGTCGGCGCCGACTTCGGCTGACTTTCCCCTTCGTGTGCGAATGGGTCGCGGTCTCAGCTTCACCTTCGAGTGGAACGACTTCGCCATCCTTCGCGACCATAGGATAGAGTTCAACGAGAGATGCTTGGGACTCGGCATCAGGTGGGACTCGGGTATTCGCGGTGGTTGAACAGTGTCGATGTCGGCGCCGACTAACTCTAGCTCCGTTGGAAGTCGCATTGTCGCTTTTTGTCATCAGACGTACGTCCGAGTACGCGAGAATAGGCATGGTCCCCGTCCAGGGACGTCGGTCGGCAAAGCAAGCGTCGACCACGTACTGTCCGCGTTTGACGTACGGTAGACATCGACCTGGTAGCGTTTGCTCACCAGCCATGTTATCTTCCCCCATGCCCACTCGTGCCCTCAGATTTGCTTGGTTTTGCATTGGGCTGGACGACCAGCGGTTGTGGGTAATCGGAGTCGGCCCGCTTCGATCGGTGATGAAGGCCGCCGACCATTCTTGCTTTGCTACGGTTTTCGACGCCGACATCGCCGCTATCCCATTGCGATCGACGTGAGCTGGTCCCCCGTTGTCCAGTTGTCGTTTTGTGTAGTCGGTCGCATCATCGCCTAATGTTGTGGTCGACGCCGTCTTGCATGTGCAGCGGCGGCCCGCTTCCAGGGTCACACTGCAGCGTCATAGCCATCCTCTACCCAGGAGATCTGCTGAAGGCTGAGGGACAGGTCTGCAGGACCTCGATCCGGCACATCGACCCGCATACCGGGAAACTGAAGCACCGCGACGAGGCCGTCCGCGTGCTGAAGTAAGTTGTGAATAGTCGTCGCTTTCTTGCTTGTTAGTCGCCGACACAGGGTATCACATGCTGACCTTTTTCTTTTTACTACGATGCTCCAGGCTATTCCGCACGGCTGTCCTGGCCGAGCTGGGGCGTCCCGGTAGGAAGTGGGACGGGGCGCCGCCATCACAAGCAGTGGTCGAGGACAGGCTTGCCGACTGCGACGACCCTATCCGCGACGTGAGTTGCACGTTAAAGCTCCGCTCTTAACGTTCTGCGCGTATCTGTATGCACCGCTCATATTGTTCCGCGCTTGCCTGTGTTGTATGCAGAAAGTGCCGGGCACAGTGTCGGACGGGCATGTCGGCACCGGCATGCTTGCCGCGACGTCGTTCGGGTGGGTGGCCAAGCAGATCGACCTGCTGACGGGCGACAAGGCTCGAAGTGCGGTGAGCATCGAGAACATCAAGGCAAAGGGTTTGAAGTCGCTCCGTGATAGCATGGTCGAGTACATCTGCACTCGCGTCGCCGAAAAACGATCTGCGGCGCCGACTTCAAGAGCCGTTGGAACCGCCGACAATGCGATTGATGACGACGGCGCGGAAAGTCAGACGGCGCCCCAAGCAGCAGATGCCGACCAGCACCAGGTGGACTTGCCGGTGTCCGGAGGAGGCGACGCCGCCGGCAGGTGCAGGAAGGAAGGTTCAAGATTCGGAGTCGTCGGATTCGAACTCAGAGTCGGAGTCGGAGGGGGAGGGGGAGGACGAGGCGGCGAAAGAGAAGGTCGAGGAGGATCACGAAGAGGAGGAGGAGGAGGAGGAGGAGGACGAGGACGAGAACGATGAGGTGGTGGAGGTTGAGGAAGGGAAGGATGAGGCGAAGAACGACGAGGAGGGGGTGGAGGCCGAGGTGCAGTACGAGCTGCAGTACGAAGACAGTACGGTTGTGGCGTTGGGGTCGGCGGATGAAAAGAATGAGGAAGCGGAGGATGGCGATGCGGGTAATGCTATGAGGTCGGCAGAAGATGGGGGGAAGGAGAAGGATGAGGTCGGCGCGGAGGCAACGACGGAACAGGGCCCGGAGGAGGCGGCATGCGAAGGTGCGAAGGTGTCGGTCGACGCCGGCGAAGGGGCGAACATCACGGGCATGCAGGAGACGAAGGAAGCATCTGGTCGGCAGGGCCCTGAACAGGTCGACGTCGAGGAACTGCTGCGGGAGAACTTGCTGTTGAGGGCGGAGAACGCTCGGTTGAAAGCGTTGCTCGATGAGGAGCAGGCTCGGCTGGACGCGTTTTTTGTTGGGCTACGTGGACTCGTCGACCACCTGAAAGAGTTGGCCGAACAGATCGACGACACCGACAAGTTTGCGGCGCAGCAGCTGCGAAACGCGGCGGAGGCCATGTCGCAGACCATCACGGGCAACATCACCGGCAGCTTCGACGAAGCGTGGAAGACGATGAAGACATTCGCGGAACAGGCGTCGGCGTGGTTGGAGGACTTCGACAATCCGGAGGGTCGTGTGGCATGTGCACGCGCTGAAGCTGTCGACGCATTGGCCGAGCACGTGAATGGGGTGGTGGGCGCTGCGAGGCGGGGTTTGGAGCTGTACATCACGACGCAACTATCCGCCGCGCAGGTCAACATCGCCACCGCTGTGACCTCCAGGCTCCCCGTGCAGCCGCCGCCACCGCCTCAGCCCACGCCGCCCGCCCTCCCGGAAGAGCTCTTGAAGTCGTTCAAGGCCGACATCATGAAGACGGTGACGGAGGCCACCCAGCAGTCGTTCGTTGCTTCCGGGATGAAGATGTTGACCGAGATGATCGGCACGGTGGCGCCTGGTCGACGTGGGTCGTCGCCGTCGGCCAATGACGCAGATCAAGCGCAAAGGAGGGCGGCCGACAAGCAGGGCGAGAAGAGGACGGGCGACGGAGACGACAAGGAGAGCGTGAAGCGGAGCAAGGGATCGGACGGGAGCCGCGCCACGAAGCCTCCTGCTCAGATCGTGGTCGAACAGCTAAAGTCGAAGGCGGGGTGGAAGGTGATAAGCACGTCGAACAGCAAGGGAAGCGGAAGCGGGAAGGCAGAGGGTGGCCCTGCCGATGGGGTTGCCGCTAATGTCGCTGCACCGCCTGGCCCGCCTTTGGTTGCCGAGCAGACCAAACCGCAGGCGACCTCCGGGAAAGGCGTGACCGACAAGGAGGCCCCTACTGCTCAGGCGGCAAACGACGGCGGCGCCCGAACCACCAAGGGACCGTCCGTCGCGGTGGCGGCCAAGGGCAACGCGAAGGCCGCCTCTGCCAAGTCGATTCCCCGTAAGTCCCCAGCGGCTACCCCCGCGCCGGCCGGCAGGTCAAGCGCCAACAACGATGGGCCGGCCATTGCGGCCCCTCCAGCTCCAGCAGCACCAACTGCCGACAAGGGCGACGCGACGGCTGCTGCGGCTAAGCCCGAAGGTCCGTCACCTGCTAAGGTGCCCGCCGGCAGTAACGCGCTCAGGGAGATGCTCCGCCGCATGGATGCGGATCGCAGGGACGTGCAGCAGCCTCCAGTGGTCGACGCCGCCCTTGCCGAAACAGCACGTCGCTCAGTCACATCGCAGGTTGTCGGCAAATCGACCGGTGCCCCACCTGCCGTGCCTCTAGTCGCCGCCCCAACGCCCGCGGAACCCAAATCCGCGTTTCTTCGCGCCCATTTAGGCGCACGCAAAGCGGGAGCTCGACAAGTGACTCAGCCGGAACCCGGCAAAAGCGCGACGCCGACGTCGGTAAACGCGACTTCACCCACACCAGGTGCAGCTGTGGTCGATGCTGCGGCGGAGAAAGGTGTGAGCGCGGCGCTAGCCACCGGCGGCCGAGCCGACAGGCATGCCAACCTCGCTGCCGTTCTGGCTCAATTTGAAGCAGCAAAACGGCCCGAGCATGCCCCAGCACTGGCCATCATGGACACGGCACATGCGGAGCCGTCGGAGACCCACGGTGGGGGTTCTGCGGAGCCGACAGCTGCAACGGCTGCTGTCGCCGAGGGAAATGCGGGACAGAAGGGGAAGGACGGCAACGGGAAAGGGAAGGCGGTCTCGCAGAGGAGCACGCGGGCGATGTCGGCAGGGAATGAGATGTCGGAAGAGAAAGGGAAGAAGCCGGCACGGAATCAGGACAAGACGGGCGGCGAACATAAGCCGGCGAAGAGGAAGGCGAAGGCGGAAGAGGAGGAGGAGGAGGAGGAGGAGGAGGAGGGGGAGGAGGAGGAAGGGCATGGACGCCGGGGTCATGGCATCCGCCGAGACAGGTCTGGCGACGGGCTTGGGTGGGTGGGCGAGATCAAGATTAAGGGCCAGAATCGGTACATCGGCAAGTCGCGCGATAAGATGGAGCTGGCCTACGAGCACGCGATTGCGTACTTGCTCTACAACGGCTACGTGAGCAAGGTGCTGACGAAGGAGCTCACCGTCTTGAAGCCGGGGCAGTTGGATGAATGGAAGGCGGTATGGGAGGAGCTCAGGTTCCTGTCGACCGGGATGTGGACGGTGATGTGGGCCAGAGGCTTGTGCCATCCGAGAGCAAGGTAAGTCGGATACCGACGTGCCGAGTTCTGTCGACCAAGTCGGTGTCAAGATCGCTGATGTCGACCAAGCCGTGTTGTTTTAATGTTTTTGCGCGGCAGGTTCGACGATATACTCGGCAGGTACCGTGGGTACGCGAGCTCGGGTGATGCGCTTCATGACGTGCTCTGGCCGGCGATATGGTTCCCCATCATCGAAGACACGGAGGCAGGCAAGGCGGAGACAACCGCTCTCTTGTCGGCGATGGTAAATCGCGTGTCGATGTGCGCGGCGTATGGGAAGGTTGCGGCGAGCGTGGCGTTTGGGAAGGTCGACACGAGCACGGAGGGGAAGGCGGGTGAGAACGCGGAGATGGAAGGCGCGGGGGGTAAGGCGGACGAGAAGACGGAGATGGGGGCCCAGGCGTTAGCGGCATCTGCATGCGCCCTCTGGTGCTACATGTCGACGGGTGCGTCGGTGCTCGGTGCTGTGGGCGAAGGGAAGGCGGCCGCGATGGTGGCAGGTGCAGGGGAGGAGAGGGCCGAGCGCTTCAAGAAGGTCATGCACTTGGTTTTCGACTTTGCAAAAAGTCGGAAGGCTCCCGCGGGGGAAGGTCGACGCAATCACGGAGAGGAAGGTGGGTGAGAACGCGGAGATGGAAGGCGCGGAGGGTAAGGCGGACGAGAAGACGGAGATGGGGGCCCAGGCGTTAGCGGCATCTGCATGCGCCCTCTGGTGCTACATGTCGACGGGTGCGTCGGTGCTCGGTGCTGTGGGCGAAGGGAAGGCGGCCGCGATGGTGGCAGGTGCAGGGGAGGAGAGGGCCGAGCGCTTCAAAAAGGTCATGCACTTGGTTTTCGACTTTGCAAAAAGTCGGAAGGCTCCCGCGGGGGAGGTTGCACATAACGTCGCGCCAGAGCTGCAGCGCTATGGAGTGGCCAGGGCCTTCGAGGCGGGAATTGAGGAAGTCGAGGCCGACATGATCGCAAGAGCGACGGTCGAGACCTTGGCGTTCTGGGGAATGTGCCCCGTCGCCGGGCCCAAGCTCAAAGCGGAGGGCATCGATGTGCCGTGTGACGCGAAGATGGAGTACGATCTGGAGCACAGGGGGAGGAAGGGTGAGAAGGTCAAGCAGGGCAAGGGCAGCAAGAGGAAGAAGACGAAGGCGGAGAAGCAGGCGAAGGACAGTACGGATGCGTAGTCGGCGGACGGATGTGTCCTAGGTTGCTAGGGTGTGTACTATGTCGGTATGGCCGGCGACGATTTCGGTGCAGATTTGATGAATGTTTTCTTTGTAACAAGAATCGTATTTGCTACAGTTCTGTTTGCTTCACTTTGGGTTTAACAAATCGGTGTCCACATAGAATCATGCTGACCGAATATCACCTGATGGGCCATGTCGGCGCATATGTCGACATGATATGCACTTGCTAGTCGGCGAGGACCGTTTACATGATAGAAACATGGTTCTCGGCGGTGAGCTTTGTCGGCAAAAGGTCGACATCGAGTTTTGCGACACCTATCGTACTGGTCGTCAGCGACAACATACACCGACAAGTAGGGTTCGCAAGGATCTCGATGTGGGTTGTTTACAAACTACCAGAAACAGTATTCGAAGGGGCAGGCGGGGGGGGTTGTAAGTTTGCCAAATTCAATAGCATTAAACTACGCAGACACATATCCTAGGAGGGACTTCATGCTGACTTCTTGCGCTTGGTCGGAGGACGCTGCACGGGTGCGGTCGGCTTGGCCGGTGCTGTCGACTTGGCCGGTGCGGTCGGCTTCGCCAGGTCGGCCTTGGTCTTCGGCATCTGCTCCTCCCAGGTGTCTGGAAACAGACCGATGAGCCAATCTCTCGGCTTCAGGTTGAGCGCCACAAGCGCACAGGCGTGGCGAAGCTTCGAGACCACCTTGGGGCCCAGCCCCTTGACTCCCATGCCAGGCTCTTTGGACAACATCGGTGCCGTTTTCGGGTTGAGCACCGTGAGGGCGTCACAGAAGGTCCCAATGCCCGGTGCCGCGATCCTGTTCAGTGCGTCGACCACGGCCTCGGTGTCGGCGTCGCCGTCGCTCGCGCGTAGCTGGCGCACCGCATCCATGGCCTTCATCATGCGGCGCACCTTCATGTCGAGCCCACCCTGCGTCGCGCCCTTTCCTGTGAGGAGGGTGTGGCGGGCGACGAATCCCTTCTCGGCGACCCTGTCGCAAAGGCGACGGGTGTCATTGGCGGTGGCGGAGTTCCATAGGCGCCAAGCGTCCCTCACAGTCTTTGCCTCCCGCCACGGTTGCACCACGTTGAGCTCGTAACTAGCCTCCTCGTCCGTCTGTGGGGGTGGCGGGGGTTTGTCATCCCCTCTCTTGGCTCCAGCCCCCGTGCTGGCCGAATCCGCCGAGCCACCCTCGCTGGGAGCTTGCACGGGCGCCGACGGCGGGGCCTCAGGCACTCTCCGTGCTTCCGACAAGCTGAGTGCCTCGGTGAGACGGGCTACCTCGGCGGTGAGTCCCGCGATGGTGTCGTCGCGCTTCTCGATCTCCTCTAGGAGATCAATCTTCTCGTTCGCGGCGCGCTCCCTTTCCGACTGCAGCTGGGCCTTGAGGGACATGTTGTAGTACTCGGTGTCCATGCGGACCGAGATTTCCTGCAGCGGTAGGAGAAAGACGTTAGGGCCGCGGTGGTTTGGTTAACACTACATACTGCACGTCGGCGACAGTATCGTCGACTTACCTCTGGCTGAATTTGGGTTGGGTCGCGACGCTTTTTTATCGTCTCGGTGTCGACGCTCTCCACCCGTTTCGCCCAGTGCTGGAAGAGGGGGATCCGGCAGAGCTTGGAACCTTGGACGTACGGGTGCCATGGTGTGCGGACCAGCTTCACCGCTAGGTCCTCGGCGACGATGCGGCGCAGCATCTGGAGTGTGCGCCAGAAGTGCACCGCGGCTTTGTCGGCGTCGGACCCCTCGCCAGCCTTCCCTTCTGCCTGCAATTCGTCACGTGTATTAGGTGTTCAGACACGGTCGGCAAGATGACTCGAAGACAGGGCTACGAGGGCGTCGACTAACTTACCGTCTTCAGCATGTCGTCGACGCCGGGGAATATGTGCTCGGCGAGGAGTTTCAGGAGCTTGTCGGTGGGTTCCACCCTGCTCCGCCCCAAGAAGTAGTCCTGCTTGTAACCAGAGTACCCGGCCTTCTTCATCACCACCCCCACCGGAATGGCGGTGATGTACGCCCGCGTCATCTTGTCGAGCGCCCAGTGACCCAGCTCCGCGATCTCGGCGCGCGGCGTGCCGTCGATGGCCAGCTCCTGGGCCCCTCCCGCTCGAGCGGCGTGCACGTTCCTCTTGCAGAACACTTTGTTGGTGTCCCACAACTGCCGCGTCCAGCGTTGGTGGCTTGCCGCAGAGAGCTCCCCTTGGTCGGTGTCGTTTTTGGCGAAGAAAAGGTGCTTCTTGTACCAGCTCGCGCGTGTGTTGGTGTCCACCGGTGGAATGAGGCGGACGCCGTGAAACTGGCCGATCTGGTCGAGGACGAAGTGCAACCACAGGCCCGTCTCGCCGACGGCGCACAACTCCGCTTCGAGGTGCCGCGCCGCGTAGCTCTGCTGCAAACGAGCATCCTTGGACGTCTTCGAGTTCCGCGCAGCGATGACCATTACGACCGGCTGGTTCTCCGGGTTCACCGACGAGGTGCTCGCCAGTCGGTACAAGAAGATGTCGGGGAGCGTGATCTCGCGGATGCTTGCACCGCGCAGGAGGCTGTGGTGGGAGAGAAGCGTGAGCACCTTGATGAGCAGAAACCTCCACAGTGGCTGCGAAGGACCCGTTCCACGCGGGTTCCACGCCTTCGCCGCCCACGTCGGCAGCACCCTCATCATGATTTGCCGAAACTGTTCGGCGGTGTAGGTATCGCCGAGGGTTCCTCGACGCCGATCGGCGCAATTCCTGCCCACAAAGCCAAGGGTAAGGGTCATTCCGGGCGGCGTCGACATCATAGTGTGGACGACATAGATTGAACCTGCACTTACTTGATGTCCCGCTCGTTCTTGGTGCGGATCATGAACCGCACCTCCGACCTGACCACCGATATCTCCCGCATGATGCTCAGCTCCGTCTCCCGGTAGAGCGTCGCCTCCACTCTCGCCGCCATCTGGCATGCCTTTATGCGCCCGAGGAGCGTGTGCACCGTTGTGGAGTGCACAGGCTGGGCTCGCGCGGCGTTGTCCCCCTCCTCGGTGGACTCGGCATCGAGCTTACACTCACGCACCATGTACTTCATGTACGCGCGAAGCCGGGTGATGGTAACCCTTGGGCCGTGCAGCCACACGTACGCCCGGGGGACATCGGCCTCCTGGTCCCAATTCTTCTTCTTGTTGTCCCGGATGTAGTGGCCTATCTCGTCGACGTGCTTAAGCCTGTGCTCCTGGGGAAGTTTGCCGCCTATCTGCCTCAACATCTTCGCCGCCCACCTCTTGTAGTGGTATATCGAGGAGGTGTACTGCCTCAGCATGCTGTTCTTCTCCAGGGTTTGCAGGTGGCGTAGTGCGTCCATGACGAGCACGTCGATGCACGCGTACACCATGTCTTCCTCGACGAAGTCTGCCGCCTTCCACTGTTCGCGCGGCACCGACATGTTCTCCTGGTCCGCGTCCTCGTCCTCTTCGAGCAGTTCATCTATGAATTCAAGCTCCCGCCTGAGTCGTTCGTCCAAGGTGCGCGGATTAGTGCTACGGGGTGGACGGTCGTCGTTTTCGTCATCGCTTTCCTCCTCCTCCTCCTCCTCCTCCTCATCCTCCTCCTCCTCGGCATCAACTTGGTCTCCAGAGCCGGCATGTGCCGACGACGTTCCTGGCTGTCCATTTCTTGCAGGCTGCTGTTTTTTTTTCTTGTTGAACTCCCCGATCGGCGGTGGGAGAATGTCCTTGGTGAACTCTCCTTTCGGAATCTGCGTTAGCTTGTCAAGATCGTAGAGTAACGGGAGCGTCTCTTCGTCGGTAGATGTAGGATTGTGGTCGGTGGGGGGACTAGCGTCGGGCATGTCGACGTCGGCCATGTCGGCCATGATTGCGCTATCGTCGTCCGTGTGCGATGCGGAGGTTGTTAAACCAGACACGGAACTGTGTCACGGGAGCGAAATAACGGTCTTCTTCGAATTCTCGCTCAATTGCGTCTAACTCGGCTTCGACCTCAAGACGTTCCAGCTCCGCTTTGATGTCGTCGTCTACTGAGTCGGCGGGGGGTGGGATGGATTGGGGCTGTTGGGCTCTAGGGCGACCTCTGGCCATGCGTCGCCGACTTGCTAGGTCGGCCAAGATGTCGATAGTTTGCGGCGATGTTGCCCTGGCACGTCCGATGTCGACGTCGACAAGTACTGACCTCTCGTTTCCCTAAACACCGACCTGATTGTTAGCGACCACGTAGAAGCAACCCGTGCCGACGGGATCAATTAGTCGGCAGCCGACAAGCCTACAATCGCGAAGAAAGACAGACAGCGGAGAGCAGGAAGGAAAGCAGGAACTGACAAGGGAATGAGCACAATCGGAGGGTCACGAAGGAGTACGGTCCCGAGCGTCTCCGAAGCGGCCGCGCTTCACGCAACCCCCTATGATGCTGCCGCTATGCATGCGTTCTCCTGCGGCGGCGCAGTGTCCGACGTGTCACGTGCCAAACATGGCTGCTGGGACGCCGCGCTGCACCCAAGGGGCGTAAGCCTGGGCCATTCCACGAGGGAATGGGTGTGTGTGACGTGGCGTATTGGCGCGTCACAGCGGAAATAACGGCATGCCGACTTCCACCTTCCAGGGGCCCTGTATTACTGCGGGCCCGCGTGGCAACCCTACCGCGATCGCCTGGTGATCGGCGCCGACTACCCCTCGGCGCGCTAATTTGTGTGGTTAGGTTCATTGAACGTGGACACTATTGTGACTGTGCCGCATGGCTCGGTTGTGGACCGTTGGACGACTTGGTCGACACCGACCAAACTTGACGGTCCGATCTGCGCCGCGTGGATCGAGCACCGACAATTTTGGCGGGAGCTTCGACTTCCCGTGCGAAACACTCACCGCCGGAGTGACGCGTGGCCACGACGTGAGCGTCGTGGCAGTCTTGTCATCGTGGGGGACCTCCTGGCTCGTCCCTGTTGGGCCGCGTGGCAGCAGTCCCGGCTCGACATGGCGAGCTTTCCTATTTTGTCCGCTGAGATTTCC